TGAGTGTCGCATAGAAAATGCAAGAAGCCGAACTGGTCCAGCTCGGGGCTGATGCTGCAGTGCTCACCATGGTAGCCATTGATACAGGTGCAGACGCCAGTCTCGTTGCAGAAGCCACCGAAGGGTTCGTTGCAGCTCACCGCTGCGCAAACGCCAACGTCACAAGAATCGCCTTCCACTCCTTCATCACAAGCACAAGCCAACAGGCTCTCCGGCTCCTCCGTTTCAAATAGGTTCGGGAGAAGCGACGTCCACCTCGCCCCCCATTCGCCCTCCAACGTTCTGTCATAGAAACTCGAGGCAGTGCACAAGCCCTTGCCACAGAACCTCGGGACAAAGCCGGGGCAAGCCGAGTGAATTTGAAAAGCTTTGACGAATTTTGGGCGTGTTCTCGCCTGCCCTCGCACTCGCCACAGCCCTCCGTGGACTTGACAAACTCCAGGGTAGAGAACCTGGCCTGCAGTCGTCAGGTGGTGCTGGCGATTGCAGTGGTGTCGCAGCAGCGGTAGTGGTGATGATGGTGGTGGCACTGCTGCTACTGTTGCTGTAGCAATTTNNTCAACAGCAATAGCCACAATACTAGTAAGCATAATGACAATAACCACAATAGTGCAATCGACAATCGTGAAAACAATCTCTTCAGAGTCATTAGAGCCGTTAGAAATTAACTACTGTGTTCAATTTGATGCCCGCCTTGCCTGGGGCTTATTGCTGTCCTTGGCCACGAGTGAGACCTCGATCATGCCAGCGCTTGTGGGAATGCACTTAAAGTTGTAGATGTCCGTGTGGTGATGAGCCCACTTACCGACGTAGTCCTCTTTGACAGTCTTCCCATTGATCACAATGTCCCACTTCTTGCCACCCCTGTCTTTCGTTTCACAGAAAGTGTACGTGACGGTATAGAAACTCACCGGAGCATCGGGTGCCTGGAGGTTTACCCGATAAGTCTGATTCTTCCAAGTGTTCTCTCTGCTGTAGTGGTGCAGAAGAGCATCGTAGTCTTGGTCGTAGCTTGGAGGCCAGTTGCGGCATGTGTGCTTGCCCAGGGTCTCGTTGCCATCGATCCAGTTGGCTCGAAACCATGCTTTGGGCTTCGCGCCAATGTAGCCACCCCAGGTGTGCGCGCTGTAAGGCGTCTCAGAACTGTACCACAGCCGTCCTAGGCTGTCGTTGTAGTTCCCAGTGTACCCGCCGTTGATGCCCAGCCAAGCCTGACCTGGACCTTGAGGGCTCTGGTTTGTAACTATTTTGGACCAGGCCCCGGGAAGGGAAAGGCATCCGAACACCAATGCAGCGCACGCCGAATGAGCCATCACCTGCAGTGTGCCACGCTGTGCGACTAGAACGGCAGGAGCTGGCAGTTGTCGCTCGGGCCATAACTTGCGGCGTGATTCAGCTCTCAGAACAAGCCTGCATCCTGCGGTGCGGAAGCCGGCAATGCTTCGTCGGACTTGTATGCCAGGATGCGACTCGGCGAGACGATTTGGACGGCTTGTGTATGACCAAAACGCTCCCCAAGCCGTCTCGGATAGCCGTAAAAAAATCGGGTCTGCGAGAAAACGGCGCTCGCAGGAGCACTCGAAATTGGGCACATGCTGGAATGTGCACAGGCCAAAAACCCAACAGAATCCATCCAAACATCAAGGAAGCTCCATCTCAGCTACACCCTCGTCCGGCTGCACCGCCAGCACTATTTACAACATTTTCCATGGTATTTACCATCAAACAAAGGGCGAGGTAATTCGAACCGAGGATCACCCCCTGCCACTTTGGCTGTGGGCGTCTGAAAGGGCAGCTGGGGGTGGAAGCTTCCAATCTGGCACGGCCCGCAGGGTCAAAATGCCCTTTTCCTTTGATTGTTTTGTTGTCTTACTGATGCATGGCGAGGCTTTGCAAGGTTGGGACGTCTGCATACAAGTCACACTGCAACGGCACCCCATGGCACCATGGCATTTTTTAGATGCAACACTGGAATGTCCTGGGGTTATTTCGTATTGAGCTGAAGGCCTACTCCGGAACCAGGTGCTCGAAGGCAAGTAGTGGCGGGGGCTGGTATGATCACACGCAAATCGCAGGTGCTCTGCAAAGACCTTGGCAATTCGGTGCAGCAGGCAACCCCGGCAAATAAACCCAAAGTAATCAAGTGTTGATGGGCAGGAACTAGAAGAAAAGTCAAATCCTCAATCTCACAACACTGCGCACACGCAGGTAAACAACTTCCGTGCTGCAAGCTTGCTGAGTCAAAGGCCCAGTCAGCAGCTGATGAGCCTGCTTGCTGTGGTGTTGCTTTTGCCTCAGAGCTGCATGCCTGGCTGCATGAGCTGCTGTGTTAAAGATGAATAAAGAGTGGCGGGATTGATGATCGGCTGGGAAAGCAGCTCCGATCAAAATATCTGGACGTAAGTAAGAAGGCTTCCAGCATGTGTGCGATCGAGAGTGTCTGGCGAGAGCGACGCAATGTTGCTTGACGGTGTGCGCAGATAAACAAAGCCTGAGAGATTCACTCCATCCCCACTGGACTTTCATCTGCTTATGTGGGTGCGTATGACATACCCTCGGTTCCATGACGTGCTGCTGCTTCAATAGTGCATTTATTTTTTGTGCCCGCATCCCTGGTCGTAGCTGGCTCCGTGATACCTTTAGAAACATCGAGCTGTTGGGTGAGTGACAGGGTTTGGAACTTGGGGTCAAGAGCCGCGCTGCGCATTATTACAAGTTGATTTTCGGGTTCAACTCTCATTGGATTTTCGGCAACAGCCGTAGGAAGAGCGTGCCACTAGTCACTAGTCCTTTCCAGTGCCTGGTCTCTCTTTCGTAAGACACAGGAAACCCGTCTCCTCATGATGGCTGGTGGTGAAACAAACAAAATCTGGCCGAAAAACACTCGGAAGAATTATCGATGTCCACCTACCGAATGAAATGTCACGAGAACAAATCGCCCCGGCATCTTATCGGTATCAAGCCAAAGCGAAGCTTCGCTTCGACTCAGACTGAGTCTGCATGTGATTCCATTGCATTTCTCGCGCCGTTGATCTTCATGCCGGGATCAAGCACTCGGAGGGAGCCATTGTGTCAGGCCTTTCGGAAAAAGCCTTCACAAAACCAATCAAGTGTCCTGCAGCCCGTAAGAGAGAAGTATCTCCTCACCACACAAGTCCTTTTGCTCATTTTGTCCATGTCGCTTCGATCAAGTGAAGGGCAGTAGCGGTCTTCTAAGCTTTACACAATTGAATGAAGACTCTCAGCTGCTGCGTGCTTCCGCGCATAGTTCAGGCTTTAGCTGAGGCCCGCTGCCCTTCGAGTTGCTATACTGCGGCAGCAGCAGGCCAAAGACGAGGGAATGTCAGGGAGGTCTTCAAACACAGAGTATGGATCCGACTTCCACAATGCTGAAAAGGTTCTAGAGACGATACCTCCTCCTGGCCACAAAAATTGGGACAACAGCTCGGCGAGATTCCGCAGTGGCTCGGGGGACTTGTGACCCAGAACAGCCACGGGAAGTCACCTACACCATGAACCTGTCATAGTTCGTTGAATGACCCCATCAACACTCGTCAAAGGACTTCTTGATGCGCAAGGATTGAGGACGGGGCGAGTACTGCAATGAGAAGAAGCGCTGTGGTGGCCATGTGGGTCGCTCCACTCTCGGCAGTCTCGAATCTGACAAGCTCTGAATCCACAGTGGTAGTGGGCACCAGGCGCGCAGTGTGCATGCCGGTGGTGGCGCCGGTGGTCGTGGTGGAGGCGGAGGTCGTGGTGGTGGTGGTGGTGGCAG